AAATAGAACTTTTTGGTAAAAACTCAACTAGACGTGTTTGGAGGAGAAAGAATGCTGAGTTGCATCCAAAGAACACCATACCTACTGTGAAACATGGGGGTGGAAACATCCTGCTTTGGGGCTGTTTTTCTGCAAAGGGACCAGGACGACTGATCCGTGTAAAGGAAAGAATGAATGGGGCCATGTATCGTGAGATTTTGAGTGACAACCTCCTTCCATCAGAAAGGGCATTGAAGATGAAACGTGGCTGGGTCTTTCAGCATGACAATGATCCCAAACACACCGCCCGGGCAACGAAGGAGTGGCTTCGTAAGAAGCATTTCAAGGTCCTGGAGTGGCCTAGAAAGTCTCCAGATCTCAACCCAAAGAAAATCTTTGGAGGGTGTTGAAAGTCCGTGTTGCCCAGCGACAGCCCCAAAACATCACTGCTCTAGAGGAGATCTGCATTGAGGAATGGACCAAAATACCAGCAACAGTGTGTGAAAACCTTGTGAAGACTTACAGAAAACGTTTGACCTCTCTCATTGCCAACAAAGGGTATATAACAAAGTATTGAGATGAACTTTTGTTATTGTCCAAATACTTATTTTCCAGCATAATTTGTAAATCAATTCTTTAAAAATCAGACTATGTGATTTTCTGGATCTTTTTTTTTCTCATTTTGTCTCTCATAGTTGAGGTATACCTAGGATGAAAATTACAGGCCTCTCATCTTTTTAAGTGGGAGAACTTGCACAATTGGTGGCTGACTAAATACTTTTTTGCCCCACTGTAAATATTTAGGAAAGGAAAGGATAGACATTCGATGTCCTTGATGATTAAAAAAAGTAGGAAGTTAGTTTTTGTTTGTAAGTAAAAGAGATGGAGCTCAACTGAAATGCTTTGGTGTATCCAATCCAAAATGAAAACTCAATCTCAACAGCCAGTATGTTGACATTAGGTATTGGAACCTGTAATTGGAAGTGACTACACAGAGATACATGCTCAGGTTCAGATCAGCCCTTCAATGAGCACAGGAGAGAGAATCTGTTAGAGTTTCTGCTATGAAAATCTTTAAAACAAGATAACCATATTGCATTATGAAGATTAGATCATCACAGGCCCAGTTCTGATGATCAGGATGCTCTTGATATACTTGGTTCTGTATCGGCAGGATTCCAAGCATCCAGTGAATGGCTTGTTGCTGTTTGACCGGGGGATGTAAAGACCCTTTCTTTATTCTCACTGCTGTTGCTGACAGCTTGTATGGAGTCATAGTTCCGATACATTTTGACAGCTCACAGCCCCCCGGTACTTATTGAGAAAGTGCAGCTGACACATTCATTCCCAAAGTCTTTCAGCACAAGACACCCGAGGGTGCTCACATCCTCAGCTCAGCGTCACTATTTCTTGACCTGATTCGGAAGTCTTGAATACCTATTTTGCATACTCCCACTCTTCCATGTGTGCTCTGAACTGTAAGATACAGTTCAGAGCACACTTATTTTTCTGATGAATCGACTCCTTCACTTCAACAGCATCAGGGCGGACTGCATGCACTCATTTCCAAACGATATCGTTGACTAAACATTCTCTACTCAAGCAGCAATTACTCGCTTGTTCAGGGAGTTTTCATTCATCACATGGTCTACATGAGCAGAGGGCAGGCTGGTTTCAGTGTCATTTTCACTTCTTGCTCAATAACATCTCTGAGTCTCAGAACCATTACAAACACAGTAACCTTTGTAATAACCACGCTTAGGGAATGTATATATTCATCTATAAGACCCCTTATCCTCAACCAGAATTAGCTAGTTATTTTTGCCCAAATGTGTCAAAATTCGGATTAAAATCAGGGGCTTTCTGTTTGTGTGTAAACAGAATGATATATCTGATCATGTTTTGAAACTCTGTGCTATGGATAGATTTTGGTCTGTACATGAAAAATGTACTGATGTTTCAAAGCCAGCCCTTGTTAAATTAAATTGCCTTGTTATGGACAGTACTACTCTGCCTAATAAACCAGTTGTATTATGACATCTGAGTTGTCTTTTGTAGTACAAGGCCTGTGCTACATATTGGTCATATAGAAATAAAATATCTATGGTTATTGGTGATTGAACAATAAGCTAAACGTAAAGTCAACATATCTCGGTTGTTATTGCATAGGTATTGATCTTTTGACTATTTAAAACAAATGGTATCATCTGGCACTATTTTATATTCTGTATGAAAACCCCAAACCTCTTTTATTTTGAGTGGAAACTCAGCATGTGGCAGTGGTGAAAAGTTCCTACTGTGTGTGTGTGTCAGTGTAGCAAAGAACTCTGTCTGAACCTTTGAAGTATATTTGAATCAGGATGTTTTTGCTGTAAAAGATCCTAGAGCTTTTTCATGTTTGGGTATTTGTTTTTTTCCACAGGCGGAACCCACTACATTTCCATTTCATCACAGACTCCATAGCTCAGCAGATCCTGTCCTCTCTGTTCCACACCTGGATGGTCCCTGCCGTTAGCGTTGACTTCTACGATGCTGATGAGCTGAAGGTGAAGAACATATCTCCTCTTCACTTATGTTTTTCCTAACTTCTCTCATGGACACTGAATTGAACTTAATTTGATGTGTCGTACATCAAACATGTTTTTTAAATCCGGTCAATTTAACAGCAAATAATTCCAACCTTGCTTTTTTTGCTGTGTCAGTCTGAGGTGTCGTGGATCCCCAACAAGCATTACTCTGGGATCTACGGCCTGATGAAGCTGGTGCTCACTAAGACGCTGCCGTCCGACCTGCAGAGGGTCATCGTCCTGGATACGGACATCACATTCGCAACCGACATCGCCGAGCTCTGGGCCGTCTTTCACAAGTTCAAAGGTAATTCCCTTTTATTTAACTATAATCACAATTTAGCTGAATGTGGAGGTACTATTTTCCCTATTAGTGTTTGTTTTGTCTTGAAACTGATGATACACTATTCTTTCTTTGTGTTTTAAATGTTATGGTTAAAGGACATCAGCCAGTTGCTCTATTTATTGGAATTGTAACAATAATCAATACTATTGTAGCCATGTGGGTTTCAAATGAACTCCCCCATCAATGCCTAGTGTCGGACTAAATCTCTCTCAGCAGCTGTCGGTCTTAAGTTATCTTCTCCCTCCCCACGCGTTCTCAAGAACTGTTGATTTATCCCTCCTGTGGAGAAAATCACCACCATGACTCAACATGTAGGATTGTTCCTTTTTAAATCAATATGCTGTGGAGTTGTAGATTGCAGCTTTGTATTACACAGGTGGTGTTAGAAGGCTGAACAAGTAGCTTGCTATGTTTTAATGAACTGAAAGAAGTTGTTAAAATTTAAAAGAGAAAGCTTAAGAGTGAATATGTTCAATGCATTAAGGAGGCATGATTGTCTGGTTGTCTGTTCAAGGATGCTTATTTAGAATTGCTTTTTTGGATGTTAGAGCAGCTTTGGAAACCCTTTCCAAAAATGTTCTCACATCAAAATAGAAAAGCAGATTTCAAATGAGACAATCCGTCACTCACCACCACTTCACGGTGATTGGCCAGCTCTATGAAGGTGAGAAAGGAGGCGGGGTTTAACCTTCTATCTCAAGCTCGTCTTTTCATTTCTTCACAACTTCTGTCAGTTTTCATTTAAACAGCATAGGGCTCATCTTTCAACGACGAATGCATTACATATTTAAACAATCTGGAGTCTCCTCAACCCGTTCTATGACACCAGGACCTTTACTCAGATTTCCGTTGTGTCTGATTTAAAACAGCTACAGTATGAAAACTTCCCAAACCATCACACGTGTGACTAACTAGTTGCCTAATTGCTTCACACTTTGTTGAACGCAGCCCTGCCATTGGAAGTGAGGTTTCAGAGACTGTTAGACGATAGAAAGGCACTTTTTGTTAGCAAAATCAGACCTTAAAGTTAAGAAAGAAGACGTACAAGAAGTGTGGAGGCGATAGGACACAAAGTCCTGTGAGTGTATCCATGGCAGGTAGGGAAAGGAGGAGAGTGTAAATATTAAGGTAGGCACGTAGACAGGAGGAGGGAAGGAGGCGGTGGTGTGTCACCTCAAAGATTTATACGGGTTGCTGTCCAATAGTGCAGCACAGCCAGAAGGAGTTTGGATCAATCTTAATTAGCAGTTGACTCCAATGCAGCACCTCTGCAACCAATTCCCTTTACTGTCCAGTCTGGCCAAACTGTCCTGCCCCATTATCTTTAAAGCATCACAGTCCAGCAAGACACGTTCAATAAATGTTACTCTCAGGCTTCAGCTTTCTTTATGTTACTTATAGAGACAGTGAGGAGGGGCCGATGCAGTGCCATGATTCAGCCAGCACAGCTCTTATTTTATCTGGTCATTAAATGTATCAGGCTCTTATAGGCCACCATCATGCAAGGGATTTACTCCAAGAAAGTAATGAGGCAAGGAGTTAACATGTAGTAACCACACACTATCCTAAAAAACAGCCATTTAATTACTAGAACTAGAATAACCCTAATGGCCCAGTTGGTAAATTCAGCAGATTTTCACTACCTCCATTATTCACCCCTCCACTTCTTTCACTATCTTTTCCTAACAGAAATATTATGTTCATTAATTCCAATCACCTCTACATTTTTGTTTTGGCCACAATCGAGAAAACACAGCACTTCCTGCTAATGTTTTTTCATTTCCCAAATGAAGGATTATGCGGTTTAAGCTGCTGGGAAGCCTTTAAATGTGAAATATCAGTCTAATAAGAGTGTTATTGTTTATTTTTGATAACACTGAATAAAAAAGGCAGAGTAGAACCAATTACAGCTTGATTAAAGTGGTATTTAGTGAGTGTAAAAGTATTTGTGTTTGAAAAGATAAACTCAGGGCAGCTCAGGGTGAGTATGACATGTTTTACTGACAACAGCAAGACAATAGGTAAACATGGAGGAAGTGTTGAGGAACAGAACAGGAGTAGATCAGGAAACAGAGAGGCTTCTTATACTAAAATATGACTGGGCTGCGAGGGAGTGCGGGCATCTTTCAAAAAGTAGGTTGTGGGTTCGAATCCCAGCCCATGCATTCAACATGTCGATGTATCCTTGGGCAAGATACTTAACCTTGAGATGCTCCCGGTGTGAAAGGTTGAATGATGACATGTAGGGGTCGTAAAGACTGGATAAAGCGCTATATAAGTACAGTCCATTTACCATGACCAAACATACTTTCATCATAAATCTCTTTTTTATTCACGGGCATTTTTCCTGTAGCAGAAGTTTTGTTTAAAAGGGACTGGCCGATATTTAACTCTCTGAGGTATATCACATAACAGAATTATTAAGACTACCACAAGGATATCTTCTGAGCGCAGAAAGCAAGTTTCACTTTGAACTTGACTCCTGAATAGGGTTGCAAAATTCCAGGAATTTTCAAAGATGGAAACTTTCCACGGGAATAAACGGGAATTTATGGGAATAAACTGGGAATTTTCAAAATTGAAGGTTAATAATAATAATAATAATAACTTTTATTTATATAGCGCTTTTCAATAACCCAAAGTCGCTTACAAAAACAATTAAAAGTACAGAAAGGGGGTGAACAGGCAGAAGACAACATATTGGACGCCGGAACAGGAGAGTGGGAGGGCGGTGGAAGAGTGTGGGTTAGAGATAGGGAAACCCAGATACAGAGCGGAGTAGATGTGTTGACGAGTAGTGGGGGTTAGGGGAGTTTTGGTGTCGGGGTGGGACGTGTCGTTACGCGCGTTGGATGGGTAGAGGGTGTGGTACGGTCAAGGGGGCAGGGTGTGGACCGTGCATAAGCGGGTGGGGGTGGGGTGTGGGTGCGCAGGTTGTTGGAGATACTTGGGGAGGTCAGACCAAAGCGCGTGGTGAGTGTCGTGACTTTGTCGGGACCAGTTTCATTAGTCTGCTAGAGGAGAGGAGATGTCTGAGCGGCACGGGAGTTGTAGGACGGTGTGATCTGGATTCGCGTCGGAAACTGTGACACTTAGTAGTTAGGAGATGTTTCGGACGCGTTTTCCACAACTCCCGAGGCGGAGCTGACGAGTGGAGCGATGGCGTAAGTGGCTTGTCGTTGTTAAGAAGTAAGGGAGACGCAACCGGGTGTGTAGGCGAGGAGGGGTCGAGGTGTGCCCCAGGGGGTCCCGAGTCAGGAGCGGGGGAGGAGAAGTAGACGATAGAAAAGGGGGAACCAGGTATAAGCGTTGGAGTTGGAACTAAGGTGACAATGCTGGCTACTGTGGGTCTAGATGTAGTGGGGGGTGTGTGAGTGTTGGAGGGAGTGGGTAGGCCTTTGGACGGAGAGAAGTTATTTTTGTACCGACTGTAGTTGTTGAAAGGAATTTGGTTGTCACTATTTGTGTAGTATCGTGGTTCTAGTTGGGAGTTATTTGGTCTGGGTAAGGAGTGGTAACTCTTAGCTGGTAGTGGTGGAGGGGACCGTGCGTTAGAACCGCGAATAGGACCTGGGTGGAAGGGAAACTGGGTACAGTGAGGTAGTAGTTCTGAGAGGATGAAGGTGGAGGCGCGGCGTAACGGTTCTTAGTTTGTGACCTCGCGCGAGAAAGAAAAAAAAGAAGAGCACAACGAACGAACTTAAAAAAAACAAAAGCTAACACAAAGAGTAAAAACAGGAATAGACCAGTGAGAAAAAAAGGTACAAAAAGACTGATAACACGTTGCGAGAGAAAAAAAGAGTGACAGAAAAAAAAACAAAGGAAAAAGGTAAAAAAGGGAAAGGTAATCTGAGAAAAAGGTTTACCAATGTATATATAGAAAAAAAGACAGACAGAAGAAACAGCGAGAGGAAAGAAATGCAAATGAGATAAATAGAAGCATAAGAAAGAGAAAACATAGATAAGATAAGTGTGAAACCAAAAAACGGCAAGAGGAACGCAGCGAGGAAGAAAAAGTGAACCGAGACAAGAAGTGTTATGTAATGCGTAAGATAGAAGTTATGTGAGAAAAGAGGAGTGCAGAATATTACAGGAAGGAAGATGGATAAGATCAAGGGACGAAGAGGGATGAGATAAAAAAAAAAAGAGATCTGAGAAGAAGAAGTAAGAGAGAAAAATGTTAAGGAGGAGAAGGGCCAGAAAAGGCTTAGAGAGAAAAGAGAAAGATGAAGAGAGAGGAGTGATCATGAAAAAAAAAATAAAAACAAAAAACACAACAAAGAAAAAAAAACAAAAAAAGATAAAAATGGTAAAGTTCTAAGAGTATATTGTAAACCCAGTTGTCTCGTAAGAGGTCTAGTCGTGAGCGAACTGAGGAGGGGGTAGACAGGCCGCGTGAGAGGGTGTGACAGATGGAGTTTGGGTCGACTTTTGTATGGAGAGAGGGTGCGGAAGTTGAATGGGATGGGGGGTTGGGTGCTGCACGTGAGTGGTGGGTGCGACATAGAGGAATAAAGTGGGGTGCGACGTAGAGAATAGATGTAAGTAGTTGAAAAAGAAAGGAGAGAAGGTAATCAACGAGGAAGACGGCAACAGGATGTACGAACGAGGGGCTGACACACAGGAACGGTACAAGTAGCATTACAAGTGAC